GGGCCCAACCAGTGAAGCTTGAATGACTACGAATGCTGTTGCTTTTATAGTGTTTTATGGGAGTATATTTGACAAAAAGGACATTCGTTCCTGCCTGGCATTCAAACAGTACCGTATCATGCCAAGGAGCATTCACTCCCCCCCCCCTCAGGCATGATACTGTAATTGTTTGCATGCCCACATCGCCGACTGGAACAGAGTCCTAGTGCCACAATATGAAGCCTTACCTGTGTCAGCATAGGGGGCATACAACACTGTCAACGTACACTCACTCAAACGGTGATCACTACGGTTGATGGGAGGCAGAGTCAACCCTGCGTTGCGCAGTTCGCAACGGCACGTTGAGAGATCCTCAACGCACGCTGTATGGGCGGAGACGCAGACGGCTCGAGCATGCGAGTGTGAATGTTCGCGCGAGAACGTGTCTAATCGGGCGAAACTGCGCAACGTGGCCGTTGAAAACTGCGCAACGCAGGGTTGACTCTGATGGGAGGTGCGGTTGAGATAGTCATTGGACGCAATTGGTGGAAGGGTATCAAGAGGAGGTTTCAACCACACTCTCAGCTTGCTAAGTGGTCTATTTCACCAATGAAGTTCAATGATGTCACAGAACCCCATCGCCAGCTGATCCTGCCTCCAGAGGACTCTAGGTCTTTACTCCAGTCAAGAAGGTACCCAATGAGCCGAGATACATGCATTTGAAAATCAAGGTCGAAATGCGCAAGAACTTTCTTCACGACCTAATATTTTCTATCGATATTTCACATAAGAATACTTATTCAAGAATGCTGAAGAAGTTTTTCATCCCAGGCAAGACTCGAGCAGTACCCTATTCATTCTCGATGTCTGATGACAGCTTCTGGTTAGCACGTTATACGTGTGACGTGCCGATAAGCTACGGTAAATATACCATGGAAAACTGAGTAAGCAAGCGGTGCCTCGGTAGCGTAACTTGTAGCGCACTTGCCCGGAGCGCAAGCTTTCTTCACAACCCACCATTCTTGTGAGACATTTCGCTATGATTATTCATTCATACTGATCATATTTATGAATCAAAGAAGCACTTGGATGCTCTGTATTCCTGTCACGCAATTCAGAATGAATAAAATCTGGCTCGGTTAACCCGGCCTTTTATCTCTTTGGGATTGATTAACTAATGTCAATCCATATTCAAGAGGGGAGCGCCAGCTTGAGCGATGGCCGTCATGTCACGCCCTTGCAAGGCACTTTTGAGCCTACAAGTTACTTTGAGTCGTAGTGTGTCATTTCAGGCTTTCCTTGCCATACCTCTTCGGTTGTTAACTTGATATGATAAGCTCTTCAGATCAGCTGATAGATCTCGTCACGTGAGCGAAAAGTGAGGTGAATTTCAGGTACCCGTTGAGAAAAGATAAATTCATCTGTTACCAATATCCTGACAGAAACTATTAAAAAGGTCCATATGTGATCATATTTGTGCGATCCAAAGTTTTTTCCAGATCATCATTGCCCAGCGCAAGGAGAATCTCAAATGGCGGGATGCTTTGGAATCTTTCAGGGTCTTCAGTCTCAATGGATGAAAGGTCTATCAATTATTCTCTCTGCACTTTTAATTTTTAGTAGAAGCTTGCCGCAGCCGGAAAAGACGACTTCAAGCATAGTCACAGCGTTCACGTCGCGGATATGTAAAGGACATGCAGCATCATATTTGCTCAATACTTGCCTAACCAGCTGTCCACCACTGATGGAACGGCAGTCGAAGCACTCTTGGCGCAGCTGAATTTGTTTCTAGAATCTTTGTACTCTGCTTACAATGTTGGCAGCGGAGTGTTCTGTGATGCAGGCGATTTGGCGCTCATTCCGAAGGTCTTCCCCATCTATGCAACAAGTGGCCTTGTTGATAAATCCATCATTTTCTCCGCTATCTGCCAATATAGTTCTGTAGCCGGTTGAATGCTGCGGTCGCCGAGCATAATCCCGGACTATTTGGATGAGTGCTCTTAAAGTTCTTTGTCAATACTTATGCAAGCCTCGAGAACGACCGTAAATGTACTACTCATGCAGAACAGCAACTACAACACAATGCATGGTACACAAAATATTGTACATCACTGCATGCCAGAAGTGGTGGATGGCGAACAGCGTCGAAGGTTCGTCGTGATTACCTCTGCGGGCCGTACTTGTGACTTTTTCGTTTTGCTTGTCATTTGGAGCGGAATCTAACATAGATCTACTGGCTATCCGTGCCTTGAAGTAAGTTTTCCGGGAAAACGTTGTTGAATAATGCCTTACAAACAACGAGGAAGTCCGCCGTACACTTCTGACACCAAGTGCCAGAGGTATATTTCCCTTTGTTTTATGTCTAGTGACTATCAGATGGAGCTCTACAAGCCAACTGGAGGTGGTAGGATGATGTGGATGTTGAAGATATGCCTTCTGTAAAGAACTAGGTTTTTCGATGAGCGTGTCTACAGCGATTCAGTACGGTTTTACCACGTGCAAGGTCCTTTTGTGACCGCTTCCACACTCAGATAACGGACACGCCCTGTTATTACTTGGCAGTGAGGGGTCGCAGTGCGTAAAGAGTGCCGGAAAGCAGAGCAAAATGGTTACAGTGATGCCATCGTCTACCATAAACCCTCGCCTAGCGTGGAAAACAGCGGGTGGAGGCGAGGTCCTATCTCGCAAGTTTCAGGCTGGTTTCCTTGAGTTTTCCTCTAGTCACCAATTTGCTACAGGTTCGCTTCCCTTCCATAGTGTGCATCACCACCCCTCGTTGCTAAACACGACGAGATCTTGACGACGTTCCCTGAGGTTCGTTCAACCAAGTCATCATTGGCGGCGAAGCCTCTCAGGTACCAAACCAGCATTCGTCGCCATGCGATTCACGCCAGCCAAGCACACCTACATTGCGAGACTCACATCAACTAGACCCCCACATTCGATGCCCCAGATCTTCGCCAGCAGCTCCTTTGGTGTACTAAGGGCGTCATGGAACTGCTGATGAGTAAAGAAATTCCGGTAGCTCACCTCGTGACGACCTTCTGAGCGCATCCTGCCCTCAATGGACTGCCGAAACGACTTATTCACGATGGCGCTCTTGTTAGTGGAAGTTCTGCACGTCAACGTCAGATGCTAACCCATCGCTGCCCAACTGGCCGAATTCATTATCGCTGGTTGTCGGGCCAAATCATCGACAATCAGAAAGGATCGAGCTTAACCCCATCTCAGTCGCACCGTAACGAACAGGAAGTCAAGTGTTGCCAGGACCTGACCTACGCGTTACTAGCGACGGACATTTCTCGTTCTCTATCACCGTAGTTCCCTTTTTTCGAGGAACAACAACGCTTTTTGGAAGACTGCACGGTACGGCATATAACTGCGCACGTCGATTTCTGTCCAGGTAGAAATGGATATTGTGATTATCTTGGCGCACTGTGGTCGAACCTGTTTCGGGGATGTTTCCAGATGTTTGTAAGTGATTGAACGCGGCCATGACGCGCTGTGCTACGGACAGTTTATTTTAGGTAGCGTCAGCGCACTCTCCGTACATATCACATATACGGGGCGCTCTGTTGCAGTACGCCCACGAACATCGCACGAACATCGCGCCTCTTAAGTTCCCGATGTATCCGCGGAGGTGAGATCATCAGTTGTTTCTTATCCTCTTCATTTCTCAGCCGCTTCTGGTTTTCTAAAATCAGGCAACGTCCGAGGACGGTTGTTTCGGAGGGGAGATGTATGGTCTTTGTTTCGGTGACAGCAGGGACTACTCGATACAGTTGCAAGCAAAGAGTCATCAAGTGGAAGCGAGCCAGGATAAAGATGAATTCTACTGATTACAAAGCGACGGCGACGGAGGAGGCGCGGGTTATAGCCGAAGCGCACGGTATTGAAAAGGATCGACGACTCAGCGAGCGGCGGCTCCGTTCAGTTCCACCCCAGCGCCCTCGGGCTCCTCGCTGCCCGGCACGACGCTACTCTACGCTATATTCGTGGACAATAAATTTTTATTACTAACTTGTTGGTGAAGGCTAAGAAAGTGAGTAACGTCCTCTTCCACAAATGCTGTCAATTGCTGTTATACGCCACGAAAGTTATCAGAAGGATGCTGTGCGCAAAACTTTCTCCCCAGCTGAGATTCGTACCCGGATCTCATGCTTTCCGGGCAGCTTGTACCAGTTACATTGATCACGCGTAGCACAATTGCCCGGGAAGTAAGACACCCTCCTGGACACGATGTTCGCTGGGACGAAGTTTTCGCCCACAACTCCGATATGATCATCCACATTCTATGGTACAAAACCACAAGAATTTTCTACACAGCTTAACAGAATTTTCCACAGAGTCTGAATCAGTCTTTCCCTTCACAACCATCATTTACAGTCTGGTAGACACATTCTTCATCAGCGCCGGTCGTTTTTGCTGTGAGGCTCTGAGGCGCGGTATATGCGGCCCGTCGCGAGCTTACTCTCCTGCATGATAGGGAGTGGCTTTGGAAATTGTTTGTCGAAGTTCAATGGCAAGCTGCATCCACCTGCTGGCAACTTTTACCGGCCCTATTATGACACCAATGATGTGCTGAATCTGTAGATGATCCCTCCATAAGGCGAGCCGTGAAATTTTGGACATCGGCGCCAATGTGAATACTCTGAGGGCAAATGAAAATAGTGCCTAGTTTTGGCTTGTTTGGTTGTTTATTGTTTATGGGGTCCATGTACTGCAATACTTGCCCGTTTGCGAGCAATATTTGTAATTTGTTCTTTTTTAGCCTAAAAAGGGCACTCTTGCCGAAAGCGCCAATTTGTAAAAACAAAAGGCCCTAAAAGCACGTTTCAAGCCGTGAAGCCGTGAAATCCCGAAGGGCAACTGCGGTTGACGCCATTTCAATCCTGTGATGAGCGGTTGCGCACGTGAAACCTTTGTTACAAAAAATGGTGAGGAAACAATGCAAATTATGCTCGAGCTTGTTATGGCATTGAATGCAAGCGTAATAGCTGATCAGAAATTCAGAGATTTCAAGGGTTCGACAACAATTGGTTATGCGTTCCGTATAAAGTACAATTGGCAACTTGATCATTTCCACTTTCATTCACTGTGAACGACGAGCAGGTCTCCGTGTAGTTCAGTATAGCTCTGAAAGAATTGTTACAGTAGGCACTATTGTTAGTAGCACTATTTGGAGAGGAACAGATGTACCTACATAGCAAATGAGGAAACTCACGTGGTGTCAAATGTTATGTTTCTATGATGAGTTTTGGTGACATTGAGCACGAGGCTGCAAAGCATTCGTAAGTCTCGATAGTAATCTTAATTTCCATAGTATCTACGCAAAAACTGCATTTCAGCTTAGCAGTTTTCTTAACGCCCTTTACCAACATGGAATGGGCAAAGAAGAGCTCACCACCGATGCGGTCCCAAGCTGAGGTGTACCTAAGCCCCTCGCTATGAACAGTATCCGCCTCACAACGCCATCCCTAATGAGTGTTTTCACCTAAGTGTTTTCCTTCTTTGTTGATTAAAAAGGTGCCCCATAGTTGATTCTGAAGATCGAATTTTCGCCTTCGCGGGGTTCCAAAAAAGATTTTCCGATTTAGTCAGGCCGGTTGAAGGTGACACAAAGGAATCGTCCACGGCCTGAACCACTTACCCCCTATCCTCACCAGAAATTGATACCTTAGCCCCACTGCTACACCGGGAAAAGCAGTAAAAACGAAAAATAAGTATTAGTGGCAACAACGCTCGAGGATATAAAAACTCAAATTCCTGCCGTAAAAATGTCACAACTGGACATTGGCGTTGGGGAGCCAAAACGTACAAAAGTGTTGAAAGCATAATAGTGAATGGGTATCATGGCAAGCCTTTACAGTATCGGACAGCAGATGCGAACGAAGAGCTTTCCCATAGAACATTCCTTTTTACTCGGACTCACAAGAGAAAGTGATAATCGAATCATTGCTTGAATTTCGTGAAGTGACTTTCTACGTGAGCGATGTGTTGAGATTTAGTGCTATTCTCAAGATCTTTCTCAGTTCCAGCCAGGGTGAAAATCGTGTCGAGGACGTGGTCAGATCAGTACGACCCCCCCCTCAGATCGGGGTCTTGATACGACCCCTCTAACTTTGATCTTGATGTGAATAAACGAGTTCCGTTGCGATACGATTCACGGTACTCACTGCTAGTTAGTGCTTTCTTGGATCCATGACCTGAAGCGGCGAATTATTTGATTCCTAAAATCTCGAAGCGCTCCATAACTATGAAAGGCCTATATATTGTGTAATCAACTGCTAAAAATGATCTATTTTTCTTGCCATATCTGCTGAGGCGCTGTGCCGCAAGGGTTTCAGAGCATGCGATTGCAATACTGACTGGCTTTTTCGTCGCTAATATCCATGAAGCTCGACTATGGTACGTCTATATTTATAAATTTTATGACTTCACTGTATTGGAATACCGCTCATGGAGGCATTGTTGCCATACAAGGCACTTTCATCTCAACATTAAGCATAGGGTAGCGTTGAGGCAGCTTGCGCGGCAGTATGCGCAGAGGTAAGGATCTAGAATCTAACGCTAGAGAGCTTCTTTTTTGGAAGGCCACAATCACATCACCTTCTACCAAAACTCATACCTTAACATCACCAAGCAGCCACGACCTTTTACCACATACCACCTTTTACTAACTTTTATTAGATGAAGACTTTATTAGTTGTACTCGTTTCAATTGGGAAAAACAATCATTCATCACAACTGCAAACCTTCCACTGTAAATTATTTTGGATCCATTTCAGAGCTACACAGGGGCAACCAATCCATTGAGATGCTTGATAAAATTGCTTGATAATAGAGATACCGCAGAGTTTTTTTTTGGAAAATGTTAGGTAGTAATACTGATGATGCCACGAAAGGGTTTCGATTCACGTGGGAACCACGAGACAGTCGGTGAAAGCATCCTTTGGGTGTCAAGTGTAATGTTTTGGTGGACTTACTTGTTAGAGTAATCGTACACTGAAAAGCCGTTCCTTCCCATCTGCTTACCTGCATCCGCTCCAGTAGGAGGCACCGGAAGTGCTTCTGTGACGAAGTGCATGGCCGTGCGGATCCACGTGTAAGTTTATGGGAAGGTCCAACATGAAACCTGTTCACGTTCACGCTTTCAACACGTTTGCACGTGTTGAGCTCCACAAAAACAACAGTTGTGACATTTTACAGCGGGAATTCAGATTTCTTCTTTCTCCCTGGTTGTTTGGATCAGTACCGGAACCAGCGCTTATTTTGCGTTTTCTTGCAACTCCAAGAAGCGGGGGGTTGAGCTATCAATTTTTGGTGAGGATAGAGGTAGGATTTTTTATGAACGCTTCTTTCTAATCGAAGGATTAATTCAATTTTGGAAAAAAATCCTCACGGTCCAAGTGTAGTATTCACGAAATCTTTAATCAGATCGCATCGTGTTGTCATATTGGTGCTACTGCTCCAGAAGGCCAATCCATTGATGCCCATATCGGCCGGTTGTTTGACTGTACTGCACAGATCAGACTATAATGTCAATATAGATTTACGTGGATTTTACAGATCGCCTTGAACTTGCTCTATTGTGAGTTGTTGTTGCCCAATCTTTTGTTCTATGTATACAAGTCATACAAACAGTAGCAGCTTTGACGTCAACGCCTGCACTTACTTAAAATTAGCTTAGTTCCACGGGAGTCATGATGGTGCATTTGGGAAACGAGTTTGATCCATCTCTCATAGATTTTCAATGCTGCATCGAGTAAAACATGGACGCTCTCATTCCACTCTAACATCTGGCCTGCGCACATAGGTGCACACTGCCAAACAAAAGGATGGCTCTCAAAATCATAAATTCAAAATTATCTTACGAGACCGCCTTTTTTAGCTGCCTATACCTGTGGGTTCGTTTTTAAGGAACCTACTCTCAGATCATCAAGTAATCCAAACCGCTTCTCAATGTTTCACATTTAGGATCGCTATTAAGAATATGAGCGGAAAACAAGTGGCTTTTGGGAGCCGAGTTCTCACAAAGTCAGAATTCCTTCATTCCGCAACATTTCGAAGATCGGCCTTATTTTCATAGAAATCTGTCTCATGACGCGAATTTGGCTAGAAACTTGCCATCGTGGGTCATTTGACGAGGACCGCACCGCCCACAAGCACACAAGAGCGCTGGATCACTTGGCAAGCGGTCAGTGAAGACTTACCCACTGACGTAGTTGAAAATGTAGAGCCTGACTATCACATTCACTTATCATGAAAACGTCCATTTATCTCAATCAGACGGGGAAACTGTCATCACGTTGGAAATCCCTCGCTTTGTCATCGCCTTCACGTTATCAGAAATAACTGTTCGCACAAAATAGAAAACGGGACTGTGTGCTTTCGTGCCGAAATTAATAGTTGAGGAACGCTCTGAATTTCTCCATTTTTACACTTTCTTGCACTTTTCTTGACATGGCTCATACAGTGCGTACCAAAAGTATGTGGACACCCTAAAATTTTTCCTTCTCTGAGAAACTGTTGACTTCTGCACCATGAGATCGCCATTCGATTTCTCGGATACGGAAAACCTTAGATTTCTCATTTCTCACCGTTTTACATGCAGCTTTAAATTTTTTAATTAATGGAAAAACTTTCCCCTGCTTTCCCTGTATCAAAAGTATGTGGACACTTTTCGAAACAGAAATATCTTTAGAATCAAAGAATGGTAGAGCCTACCAAAGATTTTGAAAGATTTGTTTGGCATGTTCTGAACCAGGCTCCCTACACCTTTTTCGTCGAACACATCCCAAGCAGTTTAGCAGTTCTGATAATTTTAGCAGTTTTTTTTTTGGTCACTTGGGTAACTACCTTATCTTCAGTGGCGCAGAAGACAGTGAACCACTCCCTACGTTTTCAATAACGATGTGGTCTGAGGAATACGCCAGCCAATCCAGCACCCGAAACCCTCGCGTTTGCCTCCTTCCCAAATGGAATACGTGTAGGGGACTCCCCTTGAGTGTTTTGTGACGCTGGCTTCTCGAAAAAGGTATAAGTCGGGATCCAAGCACCTCATTTATAATCCTAATTGTCTACCTGACATGCTGGCAAGCCAATCTCCAATTTTCCGCTTCTTTTGAAACCACCCCAGACAATTGATGAGCCTCCTCCGAAATGTCTCTTTGAGTACAGCTGCGGGTCACGACGAAGGTCCCTCCATTAGCAACGAGATCCACCCGAATAGCCAAAGATAAGCTTTTTCTCACCAGTCGAGGTTGTCTAAGGGGGAATTTTCCACAGAGCGTCTTTTATTCTTATCTTATTGTTTTCACAAAAGCGCTGTCTGTCCGGGTTCAACGTCTCATGTTGTGATCTTATTTTTGAACGGGAATTCCAACCTTGCCAATCTGTGCTGCGCATCCATACACGAAGCTTTCTTCATCTTCTCTCGTGTCGTGTGCTCACTCGATTTGATGGAACACCGAGTGGTCTTTTTTATAAGAGGGAAGTCATTTTAAGCGCGAACGCGGATAGCAGACCAAAGAAATTTTGAGACAGTACAGGCTATTTTGTGTTGTTTTGAACAAGTAACGATTGAAGACGATCCTCATCAGTGTTGGGAGCTTAGCATCAGGATTCTGGATCTCTTTCCCAACAACGAGGACACGACCGGGTTGACGTGCGATTTCGCAAGTCGGCAGGAGCTGACGTGCGCAAGATCGTCACTAATAATTCAAGGTCGACTTGTGGAAGTACGAATGGAAACTTTGCGAGGGCGTGTTGGACTGAGGCAGCACAGGCGATTGAACACGTATAAGCGTACAGGGCGGAGCATAAGTATAGTGATAAAATGTTCAAAGGGAAGCGCTGTGAAAAAACATTTAGTTCCAAAAATGTCATCATGGACACCTAGAAGAAAAGGATAGTTGGAAAATGCAGAAAGAGTCCCTGCAAGGTGCAAAGCGGCGCTCAACTGAAGACTCGTTCTGATGGTAAACTTTTGCGGCTGAGGAGGCATTGCGAAACTCGAGCTCTTTTTGGGACATCTGAAGAAGCTGGTGGAGCAGGGAGAACAGTCTCTCGAAAAATGTTCGGGTAGGTGAGGCTTGAGCGCAGAGCATCGCTAGCTCGGTTGTTCGCTCACCTAAGCGCTCGCTGTCTTTCACATGGCTCAACACGGTCCATCGGCTTTGGGAAGATAGGCCGAAATTTGGTGCCTTCGAGAGAGTATTGAGAAATTGTACTTATTTCGAAAGCATATCAGAGTGGATGTAGCACAGAGACAAGTAGGCAAGTTCATACCGGCGGAAATTTTGTTAGGTGATTCAGCAACCTGGAAGTAGTGGGTTACTCAAATTCGTCCATATCGGAGTAGAAGGCCTGCGCAAAAAAACTCTGAAAGATCTCTCAGAGCCTGCCCCTCTACAAAAAGATGGGATAATATCCACAGGATTCGTTACGCAGCAACAAATGGTACCCGCCGTCCGTAGGAGCTATCAAATTCGAAGGACTTAAGTGAGGCTGATGAAATTTTGTGTCAAGTACTAAACATGTCGTCATAGTTCACATTTAATTTCGACATGAATCGCTGAAAATAGGGTGTAAATATGATATTTTTCTGTATATTTATGCCTCACCCTGAAAATGAGAATTCATATTAATATATACGTTGGACATTCAAACACACCCACATTATTGTAGAAGGAGCAGATTTTCCTACGAGGATGGTATTCAAATTTGGTATATGCATAGACAGGGAGAGGGGGATAATATTTGTTTGCTATCCGAAGTGCTTCCCTCAATACAGCCTGAAAAACCTTTCTTCGAGATCTACGAAAAAAAAACCATTCCTTCCAATTGCCGTTTCCAATCTCTGTGGGAAAAAGCTGGTAGAAGCAGAAGTGGAAACGCGAAAGAGTCCGTTCGTCCGTCTGGGTTTTGTCATTCAAGTAACAAGCTCATTTGGGAATGCGAAATTGTACATCGGACTGCTCCCATGATTCAACGCATATTCTACACCGCTACGAGAAGCTGCTGCACTTTTATGAGTAAACAAAAGGCGTGTTGCATATAAGAAAGGATTGATCATTGCCGGACGCTTTAGCTTTTTATACTTTATTAGCCCCTGCAATTCGCACGCCACTGCGGCGTTGCTATCTGAGATTCTGTTTGTCTTCTAGTATACTTCCCCTCTCGCTTGTCTACGCTCTCACCTCAGTGTCTACTGCCTCTCACAATCAGTCAGTTTATCTCAGTTGGTTTCACAGCGAGAGAGGGAAGAGAAAGACACTCAAGTATTCAAGGATGATCCTACAGGACGGGAAAATTTACAGTAACAAGAGGATGGCGCTGCCAATTTTCAATGTTGAACGTCAGGAGTTTTTGATGTGTGTTCTGTGTGATCATTTTGATTATTGAGTGTTTCATCTTTCGTCACATGAAATATATCAACTCCAGGAATGGACAATCCTTTGACTCCTCGAGAAATAGTCACCACTTTGCTCCGACGAACTGTTTGATTGTGTTGCATTGCAGGACGATTCAGAAGCATTTCGAAACTCCCGTCGACTACCATTCCAAAGTTTATTCGGATAAATATCACCATCGGCCTTACCTTGAGAGAAACTCAGAAGCTCACTCAATCCATCTGTTTGGTCAATGAAACTGTTGTCGTGCCCGTTTTTTCGTAAAGTGTTGTTTGCACACATATTAGCAAAAAGATTTGCAGGTATGAAAATGCCTAACTTCTAAGCGACGCGTGGAAGTTGAATAGAAAGTAGAGATGCTAGA